AGGGCAGCCGCGACTTAGATTAAAATTCAAGCATGAGCCTTTGATGAAACTTCGTCATTGACGTAAATACGCTCCGCCACACTCGCGGGCTGACTAGAGCATGAATTTGACATTGGTACACTCTAACATAGGTCAACGGTCAATGATGACTCCACTTTCAAACATGAAGAGCTGTGTGTTATTACCAAAAAAATTATACTTTCACAGCTATCGTTACTCAAAATGTTTTCAAGGTGCTAAAAGGAACAGTTTAGGAGTGGAGCAATCATCCACAGACTGTTGGATGGACCAACGACATCTTTGCATGATTCAAACAGTGAAAGAATTAGCTGGAGCTAAAAAAAGGCAGTCCGACATATTTTGTTATGATGTATACACCTGAATGGTGTTTATAGCTGATAGCATGAGGAGAGAATAAAAGAATACATCCATAATAAACAAAAGTATGTGATATGCATCTTGAAGAAAACCGAAAAATTCTTATTAAAAACTTTGTTCGAGTCCAATCACTTTTATGCTGACACAAGCGCTTGTGTGCGTGAAAAACAAGACAATTTTTGGAATATCTCTTCTTTGTGTTTTTTTAGGTTGAGAAACTATAATCTGCAAGTAATCTGTAGAATTTACAAGTATTAAAACAACACAAGACCTTATATGGTGCATGACAATATGCGAGTAGATGAGTAGACAGCGCGCCGTATGGCGTTTTTCGTTTTCGATTTCGTCCCAAGTTTATCTTTGAAAGCTCTCATGCAGATAAAAAGTGTGTTGAAGAGTGATGTACGATTCGGCTTGCGAAAGTGCCAAGATGCAAACCTGTTCTTTCCAGCTTTATTTTTGGGAAAAGAACACCTTCTCAAAGAGATTTATCTCGTGAAAGATGGAGGTATATTTGTTGAAAGGAATTTTACCATGATTCACTCCAGTGAATCAACAAAGCAGTTGATTTTCAAGCTATATGTATTTGCCATACCTATCAATTTCAAAAGTTTCAGCAATAAAATTCATTCGAATACCTCCTCAATTCTTCTAATTGCGATGTTCGCTTAGCTGTAACTCTCAGCGGATAACAGGTTGAATTGCAAACCTTGATTTTTTCCAAAAATTGCAAAGTCTCCTAAATAAAATAAAACCTGAATATGTAACATTTTTTATCAGAGTGTCTTCTTTCAAGTCAACAAGGAAAAAAATTCCATTCCTTGAGATAACAGACTTATTGATGAAGTTGGCACTTTTCTTGTCACTACGTGAATAACAAGGCAATGAAACCCCAAGAAATTCAATCACGTCATTCTTCCTTCTTATTTCAATGAAATATGTCTATTTGCTAAAGCTGCGTAATTCTGGTATTTAAAAGAACTTTTTTCTACATGGCAGAGTAGTCATTCACAGAGACTCTATGACTACATCTAAGGATTGAGGCAAAGCTTCAGCCTGTTGCATTTCAGGAAGTGGATCTTTTCTAAAAAGTTTATAACCTGACCTTAAATTATATTTGCTCTTTTAACAAGTTGCAATG